TTACATATATTATATATATTATATATTCATATACATTATATATATTTATATTATTATATATATAATATATATATATAGTGTTTTTTGTTCAGTTTTGTTTTTTGAGCTCCATCTCAGCAAAACCAACCTACCTGTTCACATCTTCTCATCTCCCACCTAAGTTCCGCCTGCCTAAATCAAACCCCAAAGCTCCCGTCAGATTCCTGTCACCTGATTCCAAATTCCTGGGCTCATGCTTAGCATGTCTGCTTTCCTGAAGACACACACACTAGCAATTGTACAGCCCTGTTATGTCAGCATTTGTGATGTCTCATAAATTTAATCACATCTAAACATCCACGCCATCTCTTACTTTGTTAACTATTTCATTGTATCTCCTTTTCCTGAGAACAATAATTTCTGGTCTTATTTTTTGCTTCCAAGATTTGTATCTTTGATGCCTTAGCCCTTAAGATTTCTGTATTTTTAAACTTTAAATGATTTGACTGCTCATAAGGAATCTATGAATTTTTTTCTAGGCCTTAATATCCAGGCAGACTGTACCAGCTTTCCAGGCAGGGCTGAATAATGAAAGCAGAAGCAGCCAAAAGCAATGAGGAGCAAGTACCTTCAGCGGAGCAATCGTACATAGCAACGGCTGCAGCCAGCGGGGCCCCACTCAGGCATGTCCACCCTGTGGCCAGTGTTATTTTGCTCTCCTTTCTTTCTCTGAGTGGAGGAATATTATCTTGGATCATACATAAGATGTATAAAGTAGTTCATGTATAAGTAACACAATTTTATTTTTCTATATTTTTATCATAACATTAAAACAAGAGAACAAAAACTGCAATAGGAAGCAGGCTTTCGATGTGACACAGTGGCCCCAAGGTGTTTTTCTCTGGATGGCACTGGGGAGGACTACGTGATCACTGGGTGACTTTGGTGCTCCCCAGGGAAGCCCGGGTCGGTCTGCAGGTGCGGATGTCTATGAGGGTGGGTTAGGAGTGGGTGGCTTATCATGTAGCAGTGGCGACCCCTGCCCTGGGCATCACGGTGACATCGACAGTTGCCGTGTGACCTTGGGAGAGACAATGTCAGTGAACCTCACAGCCTGAGGTAAGTGTTCAGTTTTTCCCAAACTGCACAGACTTTTATCAGTCCAGCTAATTTTCAACTTCAGGCCCAGGTGGGGTTTTACCCTGTCTTGTCTAAATCCTCCAGTCTTATTTCTTATCCTCAAGTTTATGTGAAACCATGGACAGTGCCTCTGGAATTACACAAACCAGAATTTTTCACCTAATGCCGTATGTATGACCTGCATCTGTTTCATATGCTCTAAAAGCCCTTTCATGCCTTCCCATTTCCCGTGTGTGCTAGGTGACCGCTGGAGATGTCTATCCTGAAGGTCCCTCCACCCTGCACTGCATAAACATAAGCTTGTACTCAGGAGCAGAGCCTCATAACCTCATGGGTATTGGTTATTGCCTTTCAGATTTTCTTTCCCCCTTAAAAATGGGGATATTAATACTTTCATCAATGCATTACAGAGGGCAACACACAAGGCTAAATGTCAAACACATAACAAATTAAGGTGCAAACTTCAATAAGCAGCACAACATTGTTTAAAAAGTAATCTGGAGGGAAACTGTTTAAATGTTTGGTCAGATGCTGGAAGCTATTAAAAGTGACTGCATTCAACATACCTGAAACAATACTGGACTTATGAACATGTTTTCATTTCTCCCTTATCTTCCTGGGATTCACTGTTGCACAGCCTCTCTCTAATGTCCCCAAATTCTAATTCTCTTGGTCAGATTGGGGACCAGTCTCCCAGACACCTGAACAGTCATTCAGTTTACTTTCTGGCAGAAGAAAATGAATAATATAAGAGAAAGCAGGGTGACCACTTTCCAAGAATGTTTTGGGAAATTGTCTAGAAGCCTAAATTAAAAGACATGCTCTGTTTTCAGGTGAATGTGAAATGCACCATTTGGATGCACTTATGCTGGGCAGAGAAATGAATTCATCTGAGACTCAGGTTCCTCTACAGAAGTAATGAGACCAATGCTTCTTGCTGTACAGTAGTAAGATAAAATTAAAGTGAATAAATCAGGTACAAAAAGTACAAATTTTGAAAATGACAAATGTAATTTTGTTTATTAGTAAGTACATTCATCATTGAATTTCAAATATGGGATAATATTAGAATAGGAAAATACTTAAAAAGAATAAAGACAGAGTTCTTTCATATTAAACTCAAAGATATGTATGAAGTGAGAAACATAAGAGGAAAGAACAAGATGCCCTATATTACAAAGCAGAAACTTACCCATATGAGGTAAATTTATCCTGTGGAAGCTGAAGATGCTGATGGTGTCGCAGTGCAGGTACGTACTTTTCTACTTAACTTTCCTATTCACTTGAGAGCACTGGTGTCTTTCTAACACTCAAAATAGCACAGAGGGAAAACCTTCTGAAGAGGCTGCACCCTGACTGTGAGGATACCAGGTCCTTCAGAGATAGACAGAGATATTCATGAATTTGAGACAGCTGTTCTCACTGTCCACTTCCTCTTTCTGAGCCCAGATACAGACCTTTAGGAATCAGAAGACACGAGAAGTTTCTAGGGCTCAAAGAGCCTCTTGTCACACCCTCATTAGCCAGATAGATCAAGATGTAAGCCTCTGAGTCTCTGAGGGGAATTTTCAAGGCTTAAGTGAGCGAATCATGGCCTCACCAGGTCTACGCACTGCAGCAGCCATGGTGCAAACAATCCCTGGCGTGGTCCTTCTGGGAAGGAAAGGCTCCCAGGCTGTGTCTGTAACTTCATGGGCTGTGGGGCTCTGGGCTCGACCAACCATCACCAGGGCTTATGTTTGCCCCGTGGTCACCCTATTGTGGGAAGGAAACTCTCTGCAGAATCTGCACCCCTAAGATCGCTGCCTTTGTTTGTCTCAGAAGTTATCTCAGGCTTATCTGGGATTTACTTATCTAATAGGAAGGGACTCAATGAGAAAGTGAACAACTCACTAGTTCCTGTCATTTGAGTTCCCCATTTTCTAGAACTGTCCTCACCTTGTTTTAAGGGGTGACATAAAATGAGACCAGCCTCTGAGACAGAGAATGAGTTGCTTTCCTTTCCTCACCCAATCTTTCCTTAAGCACAGGAACGTAAGAAATGATGAACAGCACTGAGGGCTTCACTTTAGAGCAAGTCACAACTGTGACTGGGGCAGCACAGAAGCCACCTCACTCTCCCTGGGTGCCTTGGTTATTCTCGATCTGTACCACAAATGTCACATCCTCTACTTGTCCGCTAAACACATGGGCTGAAACACTAGATGCATGTGCCCTGCCTTCCTCAAAACTGTTCCTTCCATGTGAAGCTCCACAGACACTTCTATAATTAATCTATACTCAGGAATGATTGTTTTCTCTGTTACTCAATCACCAAGGGGGAACCTTCCAGCCCCTGATTTGAAGGAACATAAACAGAGGCCAGAGAGAGCAGTATGGGGACACCGTTTCCTGGATGAGAGCAGCACTGAGTTCTCCCAGGAGCCAGGCCTGGGCACTGGTGTCTCCTGTGTCCCCTGTGTGACTGTAACCTTGTTACTTGTAGGCACATGACCCACCACAGAGGTTAAAATGTTTGTGCCACAAACAAAATAACAGCATTGACATAAGTTTGATTTCCATTCCCTAATTTCAGTGGGAAAATCTGGCACCCAGGTGTTGAATATGTACCATACAGTACATGTAAGGAGAATTACAACTTGAAAATAAAAATAATTTCATCTCTCTAGAATAAAAAGAGCACTTTGTCTTTTGTTAAAGCAATTCTTTTTAGAAAATGTAAATTATTTTCCTGCCACCTGGACACACACACACCCCCATACATAATATTCAGAGTAATTAGGCAAGAGAAATAAACAAAGTGATTATGAATAGGCAAAGAAGTCAAATTATTCCTATTTGCAGAGAGATAGATATGACCAAATATATTATACACATTGAAGTCCAATATTTTGTAAAACCAATAGGTACCAATAAAAAATAAACATTAATAATAAATTCCTTAGAAGTGGATAAAATTGGGGCAACCCACTTTCCAGTCCCCCTTCTGTCTTTCTTAGACAGAGGCTTTCTTTCTCCCCCCAAATTTTTCCTACTTTTTACCTCCATTGTTCCTAGAATTCATTCTTTGATTTTACAGAACATGAACTCACTTTTCAGATATCTAGCAGAGCTTCATATCAGAGTTGGATGATTTCAAGAAAGTGGCAGGTTGTGTGTTCCTGCAAAGTCCATGTTCATCTCATCAGAAGCAGTAAACACTGAGGAAGTCAGCAATAGCAGGACAATGAAGAGAAGCTGATCATGGACTCTCTGCTCATCGAAGCTGAGGGAGAAGCCATGACTACTGATGCTTCTCTGAACCCAAAACAGAGCACAGAAGAAATGGAGCCTACTGTTGAGCTCCTTCCTGTTGCTTTCCATGAACTTATGACAGGCAAAGATGAAGAAATGGACTTTATCCATGATGAGGTGGCACAGATGGATTCTGCCCCCAGGTGCCTGGCCATGGATAGAAAGGTGGAGAATTGTGGGAACGTAGTGTTTTGGGATTCTGAATCTATGCCTGAAACTTTACTTTCTAAGGAGGAAGCCTATGAAGAGGTATCACTTGAAAGGGAACTGTTAATAAAAAACTTAAAAAGGATGATTCTGGGGGATGCAGATTGTTAGAAGCCTGGGGATGTGAAGGCACATTAGAATGGCATCAAGTTAATCAGAAGAAAGATTTAAACTCATTATGAGTAAACATAAGAAAATGCCTATTATGATTTATCATTGAAGTGAGGAACATTAAAATCCAACGAAACACCAGAAAGGTCACCCAGTGAAAAGGCCATGTGAGTGCAGCATATGTGGGAATCCTACAGTTACTACTCAGCCTTTATCTTACATCAGAGAATCCACACTGGAGAGAAGCCCTATGAATGCAGTGAATGTAGAAAGGCTTTTAGTCGTAGCTCATCACTTATTCAGCATCAGTGGATTCACACTGGAGAGAAACCATATATCTGCAACAAATGTGGGAACACCTTAAGTCACTGTTCAGTATTTAATCAACATCATATCATCCACACTGGGGAAGAGCCCTACAAGTGTAGTAATGAGGGAAGGCCTTTAACCAAAGTACGTACCTGATTCAACATCACAGAATACACACTGGAGAAAGGCCTTATAAGCATAAAGATTGTTTCAAAGCTTTTAATGATACATCTTCCCTCATTAAACATCAGAGGACCCATACTGGAGAAAAAACATATGGTTATAACGAGTGTGGGAAAACCTCCAGTGTCCAGTCAGGGCTTACTGAACATCAGAGAACTCACACAGAGGAAAACCCATATGAATGTAGTAAATGTGGGAAAGTGTTCAGTTACTGCTTAGCTCTTACTCAACACCAAGGTACCCACATGGGGAAGAAATCTTACAAGTGTAATGACTGTGGGAAAGCATTCAGTGACCGCTTGGCTTTTATAAGATATCAGAGAATTCATACTGGAGAGAGACCTTACAAATGTGAAGCATGTAAGAAAGCCTTCAACCAGAGTTCATCAATTAAAAAGCAGTGAGAATGCATGCTGGAGAAAAATCATACAAATGCAACAATTGTGACAAAGCCTTCAGCCAGAGTTCATCTCTTTTTCAACACCAGAAAATTCATAGAGGACAAAAACCCTACTAATGCAAAAAATGTGAGAAAACCTTCAGTACCCATTCAGCCTCTTATCAACATAAAAAACCCGTGATTCATAGAATGCTGTAAATTCATAAAATAATTTTCTTTTCTGATTATATAGATGTAGTCTAAATATTACAGGGAATATTATAAAAGCATAGGAGTCTCTGTCACATGATAAATAGTCCTCTTCCTTGAAGTGTTGCTAGGTATAGAGTAGGGCAATAAGAGATTAATGTGGATATGTGTGGTCTTTTAAAATAATCATTAAAAAATGGACACCCAAGAGTAAGATGAATGTGACTGACTGGTAAAAGGGTAGAGATGGGGTATCAACAAAGACATTAGATTTTGGGACAGTAAGTGAATTGTTGATTTTGGTGAGATGAGACAGATGAATTTGTGAAAAATTAAAGGTACTTTTCATTTTAAAAAGGAGTGAATAAAACTGTACACTTAGTATGTACTAGGGGTAAAAGGCATATTCAGCTTAACCTCAAACAGTGTGGTATACACACAAACAGTGATGCACACACACATATGAACAAACAGAACAAAATGGGGTAAAATATTAACAAGAAACAGGTAAATTTGAATAAAGCGTATATTGTATTCTGTGCACTATTCTTTGCCTTCCAGTTCTCTATTTGTTTGAAATGATTTGTTAATGAAACATTTAAAAATGAAAAATTATCCATATATGCAGATGATATGATTATTTACACAGTACATAAAAGACCTTTAGATTTCCACAAGAAAGCTTTCAGATTTGATGAAACAAATTCATCAGTGTGGCAAGAAATGAAAGCAATATGCAAAACTCATTTCAATACACTATAAACAAATCCATTGGTAAAGAAGGTAAGAAAATGATTTCATTCATAATATCTTCAAAAATATCCAGAAATACTCCTAACCAAGGAATTAGAAGACATACATTCTGAAAGTTATAAAACATTAAAAGAAGAAATGAAAACAGAAATTAGAAGATAGGAGGATTTCCCATTTTCATAGATCAGGAAAATTAATGCTAAAATTGCCATCTTACCCAAAGCAATGTACAGATTCAATACAATACATACCAAATACCAGTGACATTCTTCAAAGAAGAGAAACAATCCTAAAATCATATAGAAACACAAATGGACCAGAACAGAGAAAAAAATTCTGAGCAGGAGAAAAAATGCTGAAGCCATTACAATACCAATTTCAAAATATTCTAGGAAGCCAAAATAACAAAAACAGCTTAATGTGATCATAAAAATAGACATGTAGACCAGGGGAATTGAACAGATAACACAGAAACAAACTACATAGCCATGGTCATCAGATCCTTGACAAAGGTGTCAAAATATGCACTGGGGAAACACCAGCCTCTAACAACTGGTGCCAGGACAGCCTGAGGTTGAAATTAGATCCCCTTTCCTCACTCTGCAAAAGCAATAAATCAAACTGCATGGAGGACCTAAGAATAAGATTGAAACTTGTATGAGAAAGTGTAAAAGAAGCGCGTCAGTGTGGGCACAGACAATGACTACTTAGGACTCGAATAGTCCAGGAAATAACAGCAAGAACTGTGGAAAAGAATTTCATCCTACTGAAAAGCTTTGACACTGCCAAGGAAAGACATAGTGGAGTGAAGAGGGAAGTCTTCACTAAGAACTCTTCTGACAGGATCAATATCCAAAGTATATAAAGAATTCGAAAATGTAACACAAAAAACAAATAAATAGGCAAGGAATAGCAACAACACTTCTCATAAAAATTGCAAATAGACAATAAGTATCTAAAAATATAGGTTTCAATATTTTTCGACATCAGGGAAATGCAGATTAAAACCACACTGATATTCTATTTCACCTCAGTCAGAATGGCTCTTGTCAAGAATACAAAGAAAATAATTGTTCATGAGGCAATTTGCCAATAGAGAAAGTATTACACTCAGTAGAGAGGTTCCTTAAAAAGCTAAAGACAGAGCTACCATATGATGCAGCCATAGCACTCCTCAGTGTGTGCACAAGAGAAGAGCAATCAGAATTCCACACAGATCACCGCATGTGCATGTTAGAAGCAGTGCAACTCACAGTAACTAAGCTAAGGAAACAGCCCAGGCACGGCGAAACTTTCAGACCTTTCAATGATACAAACAGCATGCTGGGGCACATGTGCCATAGGTTCACCACCCCTGGGTCCTATGTGCTCCAAAACTGATGAGTGGAGAACAAAAATATGGTATGTAGACACAATGGAGTAGTAGTGATTCAGTCATAAAGAAGAATAAAATGTTGTCACTTGCAAGAAAATAATTATATTAAACCAAATAAAGTGGGAAGGGTAGGGGAAAGCTAATAAGGGAAAAGAAAAAAATATGAGAAAATGAAAAAAATGGAAATGAAGTGTTTCTAAAGGGGGAGGGGAGGAGCAATGAAGGGAGGGCAGGGACAAGGGGAAAAATTGAGAACAAAGACCTGTCATGTAAAGGTACAAGATCCCAATGATGAATGTAACTGCACTGTATACCTAAAATGTACCAATAAACTCAATGAGGAAAAAAATAAACCAAATAAGAAAGACTCGAATAAGTATATATTTTTCTCATTTGTGCAAACTATATAGATAGATAGATAGATAGAGCATAAACCTAGTAAGGAAACTTACTAAACAAGAAGGGAATTTGAGGGAGGCGAGAGAGGATGCAATGGGAAAGACTCAAGGGTGGTATATGCGTGAGGGAAGATGCCCGCATGATATATACCATTCTTTGTATCTGCAATGTGCTAATAAAAACAAATGAAAGGAGAAAACAAATTTTCCCATTGAAAAACATTAAACCAGAATATAACGTACGAAGTAGGATAGCTATTGAAGATGTTGCAAAAGCAGGAAAATAAACTTTCCTTTATAACCAAGCAGATCTATGATGGGACTCACAGTCTCAAGACTGTTATGTGAGAGGATTGTTGCACCATTTGTCTCACCCAGTGCACCCTCAGTTCAGCTGCACAGGAATTGGCTTTCTCTACTACTACATTCCCATTTTCAAAAAGTGAAGAAATAGAGCTCTCGTAATGTAATGACAGATGGCTATTTTGGAACGAGTGGCCCAGGGAAATAAGATGACTACAGAGAGTGGGTCTCAGGAAATGCTGCTGCTGGATGATTACACTGTAAAAGAGGGCTTAAGGGTCTTCAGAAAATATTCCTGGAGTGTAAAACTGGCAGGAACATCATTTAGCTTCAAAAAGATTTCCATACAACTCAAAGGGTCAAGGAAAAAGAAAATTACCCAGTTTTCTTTTTAAAATGTTCAAAGAAGAAAATATAAATATCTTTTTGCAACAAGGGGAATTTTTATTCTTATTCTTGTATCTACATTTTCATGTGTAAACAGGTAACTTACCATTCACCATTACAGTACCATTTACATACTGTACCTAGATTTCTTATTCAAAACTGGGAATAAAAATATTGCTTATCTAAAAGAGCTATTTAAAAAACTTTGGCACAATGTATTTAGCAGTATTAGGTACCAGGTGTAACTCCATGTGATAAAGATAAACATTTTAAAGGGCATGATTCGTCTGTGAGAAGTGGGGATTCATAAAATTTTGAGCCCTATTTTTTCCTAAATGGACATGACATAAACCAGCTGATTATGACAAAGAACCTGGACAACCAGTGCGCACACTTAGCGCACTGTGCCTGCCATGCTGCCCGGGGTGTGGTGGGCAGTTCTGCAGAGCAGAGTCTCCAGTGATGATGATCATTTATTATGTCCCTGTGCCTCACAAAAGCCTGAAAGGAAGGAGAAGTGACTTACTCTGGGGCTCAGAAGATGCTCACTTTTCTGTTTCATATTCTACTGTTAAAATAATTATGTCCCAATTAAGCCTGAAATAATTTTTGAACTAAGCAAACACCCTAATTGTGGAGGTCAAGGGACAGTTGTACATCAGGGACTGAGACACACAGCGGCTTTCCTCCTGACTACCAGGCTGACAGCTATCACAATGGGATTTGTTGTCACTTCACAGTGGCCATGGGCTCTGCAACCCTGAAGGTACAAACAGGACCCGGGAGCCATGCCTGGCCAGAAGGACAGCCCAGAGTGCCCCTGCATTGCAGCCGCCAAGGTAAGGGACCTCAAGTTTCTGCATTTAGTCAGGCGTGCCAGGGAAACTACCTTCAGAAGAGTAAGTATTATTCTGTACATCATAGTCCAGAGGAACTTCTGAGAGGGTCTTGGAGGCTGAGAAACCTCACTTGTTCCCCTATCTTTAAAAGGAAAGGGCCACAAGACAGAGTGAGGAGGGGACCGGTGTAGGGGAGGACCTCAGAGGTGCGCAGGCCCTGTCTTCCCGTGTAGGGTTAGATGGCAGCAGAGAGCTCTGGCTCAAGTCAAGTCTCCCTCCTTGCTTCTCCAGAGTCAGAAAGATACAGGACTCTTTCAGGCCTGTATAAAAGTTTTGTTTTCTTTCACCTCCATCTTCACTAGAAATATGATTCTTCAGTATCATTTCCTGTTTTAAAATTTAAATATTTCATTTTTGGTGCACTTTTGTGTTTTTTGTGTTACAAATTTCCTAATTGCATTTCCATTAAATTTTAGATTTTCCTTTCTGAATCCATACATAATTCTTTGCATGCTAACACATAATATTATATTATACTTGGAAGTTAACTTATTATGTGTCAGGAGAACTATTAACAATGGTTGAGAAGAAAAATTATAGTTCCCCTGTCAAAAATTCTAACTGGGGAGATTTATCTCAGTGGCACTGTGCTTTCCTCACAAGAGCGAAGTCCTGAGTTTGATCCCCAGTACCAAAAACAACAACAACAACAACAAAAATGTAAAAAGAAGCTAGTGAAGAATTCTAACTATGAAGTTGCTGGGCTGAGAGTTACTGTAACAAGAAATAATTCACTTTAATTATATCCTAGTGCCTTGAAATAAGGAACAATAATCTCATCTTTTACTTGAGAAAAAGGCCTGAGATAGATACTCTTTTGTTCTTAACATGTTTGTTGTCAGATCCAAGCAGCTATTTTTCCTCTATCTAAATGCAAAGACTGAATTTTAAAATAGTTTACTAAAAAGTTTCCCCAAACTGTCAGGGAGATGAGTCACTTCTCCTTTTTCTGACATTTTGACTTCAGTGAGAAAGAAGGAGTCTTTTAGTAGATATCTCAGACTGATCCTAAATATCATTCAGAGCTTTGGAGTTTGGGGACAGGAAAAGGGGACTGGAAAGAAGGGAAGCCCTGGATCTAACACACAATCAAAAACAGGAGAAATTTTCAAAGCCCAACAGGATTGGTGATGTATCGAGTGCAGTGATTTTCTCACTGAACACTGTATTTTCATCCCAGACTTAATGGTCAGTGCTGCTGGGTTGGTTAACACTGCCGCATATTTTGCTGTGTGGTGCGCGGTTCGAGGAGGTCTTTGTCTGTGCCACCCTGTGACAGACAGCAGCCCCCTTTGGCCAGGGGCTGGGAAAGTGATTACCAATTACTGATGCCCCTCCAGGCGGAATGTCAGCAGGTGCCAGGCCTGGGCCAAGTCCTGGCTGGCACATTTTATGTTATCAGAGACCTTCCAGACAAAAAATCAAAAGCAAACTTTAACATTTTGTAGGAAATGGGGAAGTAAACTTTACAGAAAAGCATTCCAAGTACTGCATACAAAATGTGTGCAAATTCTGTGGACTGAGTCAAACAATATGATTTATTTTATCCTGGAGAAAATGTCTACACTTTGACATAAATTCCTGGGTGAGAAACTGCAGCTTTCAGATGTGGTGCCAAAACATTCCTACAGCTCACTAGGTTGGGGAAAAGACATGGGTAAAACAGGCTGCAAATTTCACTAAAATGTTTTTTTCTTCCTGTAGAATCTTGACCCCCTATTTGAGTGATCTCTTTTTATGCCAATAATGTCTGAATCAACTTTGATTAAAACAGCCCATATGGGGGCTTCCTAATTCATAAAATCCCATCAGCTAAGGACAGTGAGTAATACCTCATTAACCCTCTTCTCCTGATCCTTCTCAGTGACGGTCAGCTTGTGGGGAGACACTCCTGGCTCCATCAGAGGCCCGTGAGGTCCCTCGGTGTGGACTCAGAACTCCGCTCAGACCTCGGGAGGATTGTTGCACACTTCCTCTAGGACCTCAACCCAGGGACACCAGTTGTTTATCTAATTTTTTTAGAGAAGAGATTTCTTCCTGATGGCTTTTACCTAACTCAGTGTTACTTTTTGGATGCTACGTAGAAATTATGACTTGATAACCAGGACTACAAAAACATTGAGTATTTACAAGCACTGAAATTATCGAATAAGTTTGGTGTTTAGATGAAAAGAAATTTTTATGTATGTGCATCGAATATATAGAACTTAGAAGCAAAAGCAAAGCAAAACAAAACAAAACATCCTGGAAATTGACATGTTCACCAAATTAGACAGAAAAGAATGTTGACCAAACAACACACGCTATGGAAGTGGAAATATGACCACATTTAACACTTGTTAAAGATGTCAAAGAAAAAGGATTTAAGCGTCTATGGGGTTGAGGGGGAGTGGAAATAGGTTAAGAAGTACACCTGGGATGTTAGAATTGGATAATGGGAGTAGGGTAGAATGAAAACACAGTGAGAAATTCCAGTTGGGGAATTTGGGGCTCAATTTAGCTCTAATGAAATTGAATGTAGCTGTGATATATAAGGATTTGAACAAGTAGATTGGTTTTCTAGTATAGAGGAAAATACAATATCTGCATTGAAAGTTAGATTTGAGACTGCATAGAATAATACATAAGCAGTAAAAGGAATATAGTCTTTTGCGCAAAAATGTACACTATTACATATATCATGACTATACCTTACACTCTAGAAAATTGTTATGCTATGAAATATTTAGTGCAGATACATATGATCATTACTGATGCTTTCTTCAAAAAGGTGCTTGCTGAATCCAAATTTTTCTGTCTATAATGTAAGAAATGATTTTGAACCTTGTCAAGGGAACAATCCTAGCCTTTCTGACTGGACTCGGCACTGTAGGGAATATTTTTGTCTTTGTAAATCATATACTCATGTTTGAGGGCACTGAGAAGAAAGCTGTGCATCTTTTTCTCATCCACTTGGCTTTCACAAATATTATCATGCTTCTGTTCAAAGGAATGCCACAGACAATAGCAGCATTTGGTGTGAGAAACTTCCTAGAAGACACGGGCTGTAAGATTGTGGTTTATATGGAAAGGGTGGCCCGGGGCCTGTCCATCTGCACCAGTGCTCTCCTCACAGTGGTCCAGGCTGTCACCATCAGCCCCAGACACTCTGTGTGGAAGAAGCTAAAGCCTAGGTCTGCATGGTTAATTCTTCCTTCATTTTTCTTCCTGTGGATATACAATTTTTTGATGAATATCAACTTACTCCTTTACATGACAGGTACTAATGTGAACACATCACAAATTAGCACGAGTGACTACTATTGTTATTTTCAACCAGAAAGTCAGCAGATAAGATGGGTTATTCTCAGTATCATGGTCTTTCAGGATGCTATGTTTCAGGGTATCACATGTGGAGCCAGTGGCTACATGGTTTTTGTTCTCCACAAGCATCACCAACGTGTTCTCCACCTGCAGAGCTCCAAGTTCCTATACAAATCTTCCCCTGAGAGCAAAGCTGCTCAAAGCATTCTCCTCCTGATGCTTTGTTTCCTCTTCTTTTATTGGGCAGATTGTATTTCTTGTCTACTTTTTAATTCCTTCTTGAAGAATAATGTTGTACTAAATATTCGAGAATTTCTCGCCCTTGGTTATGCAACTCTCAGCCCATTTGTGCTGATTCACAGAGATGGACACATGTCTGAATGTTGGTGCATGCACTAGGGGAGACTTTCAGAAAATGTTTATTCCTTGGATCCTTTCAATAAATAAGTTTGAAACAACTCTTACTTTGGCTGTGCTCTGTGTCATAAAAACTCAAGTGAGAGTACCTGAAAAATATTGTTATATTGTCATATAGCAAAGCTGGTGAGCATCCTGAAATGACACCCAGCTGTCTTCTCATCCCACAGCCTGAACCCCTTCAGGAAGTGGCACCGTCTTGCCTTCTAGATAACCCTTTATGCCAGCACTTCTGGTAGTAAGGAGAAGGAAGAACATGATCAGCCCTTGGCTATTAACCTTTTAACTCAAGAATATCATTCTTGAGATTTTGCAGATATATGTGTTCATGTAAAATACACAAAATGAAAAATAACTATTGTATTATTGTTTAAAGACAAACCTAAATATTCAGTAAAATGGCCATTTTGCTTGTGCTTATATAAATTTCTTTTTAAAATAACTTTCATTAGTTGATGTTTGCAGTATATAATGACTGCATTCACTGTAGGGAATTGGTACACACACACACATAAGATTATTTTGATGCTTTTTTATTCCTCTTCCCTCCATCCATTATTTGTTTTATAGAACTTTATAAAGTTTAATATACATATTAATAGCCAGACTAATGGGCCAAAGGACATATAAAAATTGTACTAAGTGAAGTGTACTAGGGCAATAGTACTAAGTGAAGGTTCACTATTGGAATGGAATGTAGGGATGTGTTTAATTTTCCCATATCCTGACATCTGGAAGAACACAAAGGCCACGGAAGGAGTGATTGCCTGCTTTGAGAGATGTTACAAAAGAGGGAAACAAAAGTAGGATTTCATTATTTTCTTTTTATTTTCTGATTTGTAGGCCCTTTAAATGCATTTTAAACAAATGAATTAAATATTAACATTGATTGTAATTTGTGTCCTGCTTCCAGACATTTTGTGCTACTGGTTTCATACTGTCCAATGCCATAAGTCTCTGTTTATATTGTGGTTTTTAATTAAGACTTGCTTTGTACTTTTGTTAGGCTCCAACTAATACATACATTTGTGTGGAATGAATATTTTGGTTAACCAGTAAGTATACTGAACCCTTTTGAAAAGTCTGGATGCTTTATGATGATGACACACATTCACATTAGAAATATTAGAATTAATGTAGAGAGACTGCCACCCTTGCAAAATGCCTTTCTACATCTCTAATATGATGCCATAGAAATCTGTGCATTTTATTTCTTTAGTAAACCATGATGGATGACTAGTTTTTGGTATTGTTTTTGGTATGCTCTGTCCATACAGATTTTAAGTAGGTAATTAATGTTGTTATGTCACATTCTGAAATATTTAGGAGATTAACAGTTTCATATAAGTATTGCTTGCTTGATGATGATAGTATATTCTTTACCTTCATTTCCATTTTTCTATGATAGATTTTCTTAATATTAACATAGAGTATGAGAGAAAACAAACAGTTTCTAAGAAGGAGATTGGTCTTTGATTCAAAGAGAAAGGACTTAAATCCTTGAAATGCAATTAGGAGTGCTTCTGGAAAATTTAAAATGATGAAGGAGAGATTGTTGTGCTGGAAAGGGACTTAGAAAGTAACAAGATAAAAAATTAAGTTTCATGACTGTTGCCGAACAGTAGTTAAGATTTCCCTTCAGTTCAGCTGTCCTAAATGATTTTCTGTTTCTCTTTCAAAAGCAGGAACTGAGTTCAGAAAGTTTAAATTACAGCTAGAATCCTAAGCTAAAAATAAATTAAGATGTAGAAGCACAAGCTTAAAATCTCTACACTTTGAATGGAGAGAAGATAGGAAACAGAAATTGGAAATGCTGACCCTCACCACACATGGTAGGTAGCATGCTAACTAGCTTTTACCTGCCATAATCTATAGATTTTTATCAGTAAAGCAAAATAATAAGATGGACTGTGCTGAAGTTTCATGCCTTTGGAAGCTTACATCATTTTTAAATTGGACTGAACTCTCCCCAGATTTGATGAGTTTCAAAAACATCGAAGGAACCTGCACAGAATCAGTTTGACAACATTTAACACTAGACTAATAATTAATGTTATAAAAATTAAAACAGAAAAATCTTGATATCAACCCAAAAGAGTACATTATATACAAAGTGACCAAGATTTTTAAATGTTTCTTCATTTTACGTAAGAAATACTGTACCTGACAGAACCCTCCCTTGCTCCCCAGATCCAGTTAAATCCCTCCTCTGACTGGTTGCTCAGTGATACACTGGATCTCCAGCAAATACTTTCAGCTCTAAGTGGTGTCTAGAAGCCTCAGGACTGTCTGAATTTAGCCTTTCCCTACTTTGGATTCACTCCGGGACAGAGGTGGTGAAGCTATGGCCCATGTGCCTCGGCCAGCTATTCGCTATCATTGAAAGCACTGAAAGGTTCTCCATCACTGCTCTAGGAGGTGACTGGGTGCTCTTTAGAGAAAAGTGGGAAGAGTTTCAGTACACATTTTGGGTGGTGTAGCAAGGCTCCTCATGAAATCCACACTGTGCCTGATCCAAGCACAAGGACCTGAGTTCGACTCTCCAGTACCAAAAAGAAAAAGAAAAGCATAAGAAACTGCAAAAACTCCACAAATGCATGGAAATTGAATAACACTCTCCTGAGCAACCAATGGTCATAAAGGATACTAAAGGAGAAATTAGACAGGTTCTAAAAATAAATGATAATGCCAATACAGTATACAGGAATCTATAGTACACAATGAAGGCAGTTTTACAAGGGAACTTCAAAGCAGTAAATGCCCATACTAAGACAACAGAGTGAGCTCAGATAAACAATTTAATGCTAAACCTCCAGCTCTTAGAAAGAGAAGAGCAACACAAACACAAAGCTCATACAAGGGAGGAAATTATAAACATAAGAGTAGAAATCAATGTAATGGGGACTAAGATATAGATATAAAGATATAAACAATCAAGGAATTGAAGAGTTGGTTTTTCAAAAAGATAAAATAAAATCAATAAACCTTTAGCCAACCTTATCAAACAAAAGAAAGGCTCAATTCCATGCAATTAGGAATGAAAGGTGTGAAATCACAACAGATTCAGCAGAAATCCAGAGGATCATCTATACCTACTTAGAGAACGTGTATTCTAATAAAATGGAAAACTCAAAAGAAATAGACAGGTTCCTACATACGTAGGAAGTACCAAAGTTGAAGAAAAAAGAAAAAATTCCAAACACCCCAATTACAATCAGTAAAATTGAAAATATAATTACATTTTACCAACCAAAAAAGCCCAGGTCCTGATGGATTAGCTGATGAATTCTATAAGGTATTTAGAGGAGAAGATTTGCCATTGCACTTTAAACTCTTCAATAAAATTAAAAGGGAAGCAATACTCCCAAATTCATTTCTAGAAGCAAGTGTTATTTTGATTCCAAATCCAGGGAAAGACCCAACCAGAAAAGGGAACTACAGGCCAATCACCCTAATGAACATAGATGCAAAAATCCTCAATGAGATACTGGCAAACAGAATGCAGAGGGTCATCAGGAAGATAATACAACCTGACCAAGTCAAATTTATCCCAGGGCTGCAAGGATGGTTCAACATACGTAAATCAATAAATGTAATAAACTATAGTAACAGAGTCAAAGACAAAAAGAATATGAGCATCTCAATAGGTACAGAAAAACATTTGAAAAAATTCAACACCCATTCATGATAAAAACCCTGCAGAAAATTGGAAATTATTTTATCTCAATTTGATGAAGGCTATCTATGAAAAACCAAGCCAACATCATGCTAAATGGTCAAAACCAGAAAACCTTCACACTAAAATCAGGAAGAAGGCAAGGAGGTCCACTGTCACCACTCGTGTTCAATATAGTTCTAGAAACATTAGCCATAGCAATTAGAAAAGACAAAAAAAAGTCAATAAAGATAGGAAAGGAGGCAGTTAAACTGTCATTATTTTTTGACTACATGAAACTCTACATGGAAGACCCAAAAAAACTCTGCTAAAAACCTGCTAGACTTAATTGACATATTCAGTAGAGTAGCTGAATAGAAGGTCAACACACAAAAATCAATAGCATTCTTGTACACAAATAATACCCTCACTGAGAGAGATACTAGGGAAACAATTCCATTCACAGTAGCATCCAAAAAGTGAAATATGTAGGAATCAATCAAACAAAGGGATCTAAATATCTCCATATTGAAAACTATGGTACTCTGAAAAAAGAGATTGAAGAGGATATAATAAAATGGAAAGACATGCCTTGTTCCTGGGTAGGAAGAATCAATATAGTAAAAATGGCCATACTTCCAAAAACTGCTATATAGATCAATGCAATCCCAATTGAAGTCCCAACAGTATATTTCACAAAACTAAGAAAACAATTCAAAAATTCATTTGGAACCAGTAGAGACCTAGAATAGCACAAGCAATTCTTGGTAACAGAGACATGATGGGGTATCACAATCCCCAACTTGAAACAATACTACAAAACTAATGTGACAACAACAGCATGGTACTGTCAAATAAACAGACCTGAGGATCAGTGGAATAGATTAAAAGATGCAGAATCAGTTCCACACACCCTCAGCCACCTCATCTTTGACAAAAGAGACAACCATCTGCAGTGGAGGAAAGATAGTGTCTTTAATAAATGGTGTTGGAAAAACTGGATTTCAACTTACCAAAGATTAAAATTAGGCCAGTATCTTTCACCGTGCTATAAACTTAAATTGAAGTGATTTAAAGATCTAAATATTAAAATAGAATCACTAAACTTTATGGAAGATAAGTTAGGTAGAACTGTTGAAGGCATTGGCAAAGGAAAAGACTTTATGAAGAAATCCTCAGTAGCGCAAGAACTAGCACAAAGAATCAACACCCGAGATCTCACATTTTTAAAAAGCTTCTTCACTGCAAGAGAAACCATCAAAAGAGTTAAGAAACACCCTACAATATGGGAAAAAAATTTGATCAGCTGTTCCTCAGACAAAGGACT